AGTCATGTGAGAATTTGGACTTCATCTTAAGGATGTGGAGATTTAAGTGGGATTGGGGATGCCTGTTCTGGCAACTTTTGGGGATGGTGTTGGAGGCCTGAAATGCACCCAGCCTTCCACCCCATCTCAGGGGCTTTAATGGTACCCCAAATAAATGCTCAGGTTGGGGGAGCCTGGCCTGGAAGTTGGGGTGCTGGGTTCTGGGGTTCTGATCCCAGCTCCACCACCAGAGTGGGTGGGTCTCCTCTTCTGCCTCAGTTGAGGGTTCAGGGCAGGTAGGCTTCCTATAATTCTTTCCTTCTGGGGTCTGCAAAATGTCTTTGGAAGCTGAAGTTCCCCTCACCCCCACCCCCCAGGCAATACTGTTTGGTGGCAGTCCCTGACTCAGTCTTGGTAGAGGCATTTTGTCTGAAATGGGCAATGTGGTCCTTTAAATCCCGGGAGACTCCATGGAGGTTTGAGAACGGTGGCCTCCAGGCCTGTAGCAACCCCAGGGGATTTCTGTAAGTCTTACACACTTACATGTGAGGGCCATGTCCCACAAGTAGGGGGTGGTGGTCCCTGGGATCTGAGCTGCATTTAGCCTGGGAACCTACCTCCTGAGCTTCGCAGGGGCTGCTAGGAGAGTTCTGTCTGTGCATCTCAGCCAGGAAGGGCCAGTGACCACGCCTGGAGAACTTCCAACTTTTCCACATCCTTACCAACACTTGTTATTGTCTGCCTTTTTGATAGTAACCGTCTTTATGGGTGTGGGGTGATAGTTCATTGTGGTTTTGATTTGCATTTCCCTAGTGACACGTGATGCTGAGCATCTTTTTGTATACCCCTATTGGCCATTTGTATATCTTCTTTGGAGAAATAACTATTTATGTCCTTTGTGCATTTTTTTCCCAGTTAATTTAATTCTTTGTTGTTGAATTGTAGGAGTTTTTATATATCCTGGATATTAACCCATTATATTTGTGGATATTTTCTTCCATTCCATAGGTTGCTTTTTCACTCTGTTGATTGTGTCCTTTGATACACAGAAGTTTTCAGTTTTGATGTAGCCCCATTTATCTATTTTTGCATTTGTTGCTTGTGCTTTTGGTGTCCTATCTAAGAAATAATTGCTAAGTCCACTGTTAAAAAGTTTTTTTACCTGTGTTTTCTCCTATATGAGTTTTGTAGTTTGGGATCTTATGTTTTTTTCTTTTTCTTTTTAAGATTTTATGAGAGAGAGTGAGCAGGAGGGAGAGGGAGAGAGAATCTGAAGCCGACTCTTTGCTGAGTATAGACCCCGATGCTGCGCTTGATCCCACCACCGTGAGATCATGACCTGAGCCAAAACCAGGAGTCAGACACTTAACCAATGGAGCCACCCAGGCACCCGGATCTTACGTCTTTGCAAGCATTTTAATGGCTTTATTGTTTTTATGACATATGTTTATTAGAAAAAATACTAACAATTCATGGGGCGCCTGGGTGGCTCCGTTGGTTAAGTGTCTGCCTTCAGCTCAGGTCATGATCTCGAGGTCCTGGGATTGAGCCCCGCGTGGAGCCCCGCATCGGGCTCCCTGCTCAGCAGGGAGTCTGCTTCTCTCTCTCTTCCTCTGCCCCTCCTCACTGCTCATTCTCTCTCTCTCAAATAAAATCTAAAAAAAAAAACCTAACAATTCAGAAAAGCAGAGGAAGAAAAGAAGATCCTAATCCCACTCCCCCACTCCCCCAGAGGTAACCATCCCCTAAGAATATTTTACTGGGAAACTCTCCAGACAATGCCTTACTTTATCACTTCTCAAACTGTAACCTACACATGAATCACCTGAGGATTTTGTTAAATTCTGATTCCAAAGGCCTGAGGTAGGCCCAAGACTCTATAGTTCTTTTTTTTTTCCTCCCCTCCCTATAGGCTCCACACCCAGCATGGAGCCCAAGATTCTGTATTTCTAACAAGCTCTTAGGTGATGCTATTGCAACTGATCAGGAAACCATACTTGGAGCATCTGTAGTGTGTATAAACACACATGCAGATCTGTATGTTCTATGGGATCATCTATACATGACCTACTTAATAACCTGTGTTTTCTCCCCATTCAACATTTATTGCCATGGAAATGCCAATAAATGCCAATAAACACAGAGCTCCAATTTCCTTTATAGTGATCATATACTATCCAATTTCATGGTAGGATGCTAGTTCAACTAGTGCCCATGGATGAAATTCAGGGTGCTGCCAAATTATCATTGTTACAAGTAACACAGTAGCAAACATCTTTGTGACCATGTCTTTGTTTGTCTGGAGGTATTATTGTTACTTTGTATTTTTTTTAAGTTTTATTTATTTAATTAATCTCTACACCCAACTTGGAGCTTAAACTCACAACCCAGTGAGATCAAGAGTAGCATGCTCTTTGGACTGAGGCAGCCAGGTGCCCCCTCTTTATTTGTTTTTCTAAGAAGCTGACCAGAACTAATACATTCAAATGTGTTACTCCTAAAAGAAGTCACCTGGGAGGCTGGACCCTTAATCTCAAGGCTCTGCCATCCCCCATTGGTGGAGAGCAGAGCACTGTGGGATAAAGGTGGGATAGGCCTGAGTGTGGGCTGAGGCTGGGGTGCCAGCACAGTCGGCCCCCAGTTTTCAGCCTGGCATTGTGGATCTAGTGATCATTTAGTACCCGCAGTTCTCTGCAAGATTTGACGGTCTTCCTGATTTTACAGATGAAGAAACTGAGAGGTAGGGAATACCAGCTTGCCCAGGGTCATGCAGGTGGGATGTGGTGGTGCAAGGGATGCGCTGACTCTGCATCTGCATGCTATTTGCTTGAGTAACCTCGCAGGCCTGTCCTGGCCCTTCCCCGCAGCCCTACCCCTCCCTCCAGCCACTCTGGTCTGGGCCCCCCTGCACTGGAGAAACCTGAATCCGCGAGCTGCATGGGCGCCTCTCCAGCCCCTCATCCCCTCCCCTCCTGCACTCCCCTCTAGAGGCTGTGGAGCCAGCCCTGAACCCCACTCTGTTGTAGCCATACCAGCTGGAGAGGGAGGCCCCCTGAAGAGGCCTCCAGGCCAAAGGCTCTGTGGGCTGTGCAGGGTCAGGCCTTTGTTGGATGCTAATTTCAGGATTGCTTGGGTCTGGGAGATCCAGGGGGCTGGGGTTGTGGGGATGGGGAGGTCTTCCAGATCACTGCCTCCTCCCTAGCCAGGCCCTGAACGGAGCTCTGAGGACATTGGAGACCCCAGGGTGGTCACTGACCAGTTGGACAGCAAGCATGTGCCAGGATGGGGACTGGTGAGAGCACCAGACAGTTGCACACAGCCCTGAGCTTGAATCCCAGCTGTGTAATGTGCTGCCTGTGGGGCCTTGGGCAAGTCACAGCACCTCCTCAGTCCCACTTTCCTCTGCTGTGAAGTAGGGATAAAAAATAGGCTCTCCCTATAGGTTGCATGTGCTTTAGGATGGCTACTATTAAGAAACAAAAAAAATAACAAATGTGGACAGGGATGCAGAAAAATTGGAACCCTTGTACTCTGTTGATGGGATTGTTAGATGGTACAGATGCTATGGAAAACAGTTGGGCAGTTCCTCAAAAAATTAAAAATAAAACTATCATATGATCCAGCAATCCCACTCCTGGGTATATACGCAAAATAATTGAAAGCAGGGTCTTGAAAAGATAGTTACACCCATGTTTATAATAAAGCAGCCTTGTTTACAATAGCCAAAAAGTAGAAGCAACTCAATTGTCCATGAACAGATGAACAGATAAACTAAATGTAGTCTACACATGCAATGGAATATTACTCAACCTTAAAATGGACATTCTGACAGGCTCCAACCTGGATAGACTTGGAGGATGTTATGCTCAGTGAAATAAGCCAAATAAGACAAATACTGTATGATTCCATTTATATGAGCTACTTAGTGTTGTCAAGATTATGGAAACATAATAGAGTGGTGGTTGCTAGGAACTGGAGGGGTTATTACTTCATGGGTATAAAGTTTCAGTTTTGCAAGATGAAAAGAGTTCTGGAGATGGAGGTTAGTGATGGCTGCACAATAATGTGAATGTGCTTAATACCAATGCATTGTACACTTAGAAATGGTTAAGGTTTTATGTTCTGTGTATTTTACCACAATTTCTTAAATTGGGGGAAAAAAAACAGTACATGCCTCACAGGTGTTTCATGAGGTAGTGCATGTGAACTTATTACTAGTGTCGGGTCTGAGGACATCCCAGACTTTCGGCCTCGTGGACCCAGGTGTTGGGGTGTGTGTGTGTGTGTGTGTGTGTCCGTCCTTGTGGGGAGTGCCATTCTGCATGAGGTGCTCAGTGTGGGGTTCGGGGAGACTTCCTGGAGGACTGCCTGGGGCCCTGCTCAGGGTGATCCTAGTGTTTGTGGGATGGGTGGATTCCAGACCCTGGAAAGTCCCTGATGGAAAAATCACTTCCACTGAAGGGCAGTTTGCAGCTCCCCCTAGAGGACTTGTGATCAGAGCCATCCACATGGGGAGCACTCCCTGTTCATGGAGGCATGGAAGGAGAGACTTGGCCAGCTGCGGAGGAGACTCCGGCATGAGCCAGTGGGGTTGGCAGGGGGCTCTTCTAGGCTCTTGGTCTCTCTGATGTGATCTAGTCCAGACAGCTACACGTAACAGGCCCATGTGAAGGTGGGACCCAAGTCAGAGGGGAGGTGGCAGGCAGGTGGGAAGGCTTGCTTCCAGCCCTCTCCTAAATGTCAGTAATAACAGCTGTTGCCATTTACTCTGGGCAAGCACTTTGTTAAATGCAGAACCAAGGGCTTGACCTCAAATCCTTACTACAAAGCTGTGCAGCTGGTGCTCCTATATCCCCATTTTACAGTTGGGAACTGAGGCCAAGGGTTTAAGTCACTCGCTCAAGGTTGCCAGTAGATGGTAGAGCTGCGACTTGAACCTAGACAGTCTGCCTCCAGCCCTCCATACTGGGTGGAAATCTCCAAAATCCACCTGCCATAAGTTGGCTGCTTCCTACCCCGCTATGCCTGGACAACAGTTCCTGGGGTCTGATACTCTCACAGCTTTGGATTCAGCTGCTGTCACCTCCCCTTGCCAGGTGAATCAATGCTGTCCCCTTCCCTCTGGCTGGCTTCTTTGTGCAAGCAGGCCCAGTCTGCTTGCGTCCCCAGGGTCCAAAGATAAAACTGCAGCCAACATTGGCTTTGATGGGAGCCAGGCTCTTTGTTGCTCAATGCCCCCCTTCTTCCATTAAACGGGACCCTCCTTAAAAACTCTTGTCTGGGCTGTTGGCGGCATTGTGGCTAAGCTCGTGTGCGGCGGCGGTGTTGGCAGTGGCTGCAGCGAGAGAGTTTGGCGCGATGTCTCACCATTTTGCTGGTACAGCCTACCAAGAGGCCAGAAGGCAGAACTTATGCTGACTATGAATCTGTGAATGAATGCATGGAAGGTGTTTGTAAAATGTATGAAGAACATCTGAAGAGAATGAATCCCAACAGCCCCTCTATCACATATGATATCAGTCAGTTCGATTTTATTGACGATCTGGCAGACCTTAGCTGCCTTGTTTACCGAGCTGATACCCAGACATGCCAGCCCTATAACAAAGACTGGATTAAAGAGAAGATCTACGTGTTCCTTCGTCGGCAGGCCCAACAGGCCAGGAAATAGCTGAGTTAGAAGCAGTGGGGGCTGGGGGTGGGCTTGGAACACAGGTGTGTACAGCGTGCTGCAGTGGCGGCTCTGTATTATAGTAATCCTGTCTCCATCTTGGTGTACTCTAGCCAGGATGGAAGGTATTAGATGAAATGTGAGGATCTTGTTCAATCTGAAACCCCCATTGCCCCCTTCCCCTCCCTTTTTTTTTTATTTAAACATTTTTATGATAATTTGGATGGAAGTTGTTTGTCAGTTAATCTTGGTTCCAGTCCTTCAGACTGTTCATATGTACTTTATAACATTCGCTGTACTAACCCTTCAGGTTGGGGTGGGGGGGTAGTGACAGTTTAGTTACACGCTCAAGATAAAGTCTTAGTGAAAAATGAATAAATGTTCTTTAGTTAAAAAAAAAAAAAACTCTTGTCCAGGGCTTAAAGTTTTTCCCATAGCTGAGTACATTTTGTTGTTTTGCAACAGTGTTTTTTTTTTTTCCAACCTAGCTCTCTGGGTGCCAAGACCTTGTCCACACAATTCAGTTTGTCCAAGTTCCCAGTCTAATACCTGCAAGGCAATAAATTCTATCCCTAATGGTGGCAATGCTGTGGCTTCCTTTGTCCTCAGAGCTGAGCAGCGTTATGGAGGAACCCCTGGCAGGGATGGTGATTTATCTAGAATGACCCAGTTGGCTGGGGTGGCATTCATACCTTATAAAGGCACAGGGAGCTCTCACTAGGGACACCTCTGTGCCAGGCAGGTTGCTAATTCATACAGAAGGTGGGAGATAAAGGAGTGTGTTATTTCCATAGTAGAGACGAGGAGACTGAGGATTGGAGAAGATAAACCATGTGTTCAGAAGCCGATATTCCCCCGTCTCTGCTGCTGCCCTTGAGGCTCTGTGTCCGTTGCTGGTCTGACAGCAATATTCATTCCACCTACTGCTTGGTAGAATAACTACCTTTAAGCTTTCTCCTCACTGCCACCCTGGGAGTGGGCCTTGCATGTGCTGTTTTACGGATGAAGAAGGTGATTAGGGGCTTCCCAGCATCCTACCGGGGAAGGGACACACCAGGGCAGGGTGGTGGTCCTTTTGGCCCCCCTTGCTCTCCAGGTACCTTCCCACCTCCACCGCCCTGGACTGTGGTCTGTGTAGCCCTCCTGCTTGCCTCCTTGGAGGAGCTGTCCCAGGCCCCAGTGAAACCGTGATTCACAGAGGCTGGCCGACTAGCTGGCCTGGTGGAGGCTGGGCTGGGGCCAGGTACTTTCCAGTGTCTATCCACAATTGGGAAACCTTCCTTGAGTGACACCTCTGCTGAGGGTGCCTCTTGGTCCTCTCTGCCCTGGTTCCCCTCCTGGCCGTGAAGCCACTCCTCTCCTTTTCCCTGGAAATCACATAGGCAATGCACTTTTTTTTTTTTTAAGATTTTATTTATTTATTTGACAGGGAGCACAAGTAGGCAGAGCAGCAGGGAGAGGGAGAAGCAGGCTCCCCACTGAGCAGGGAGCTGATGTGGGGCTCAATCCCAGGACGCTGGGGTCAGGACCTGAGCCAGAGGCAGATGCTTAACTGACTGAGGCACCCCGGCAACGTACTTTTTGACTGTCATACTGCAGTGACAACTTAATCCTTAACCCAACCCTATAAGGCATGACTCTTAACCCCAGAGGAGGAAACTGAGGTTGGTTCAGGATCTGGAACTTAAACTCTGGGCCCGCAAAGTGCATAACATGGGCTGAATACTTTTTATTTTATACCTCTTAAGCTTTCTTAGCTTAAGTTCTAACTTAGGAATGTTTGCTTTCATATATTGTGCTTTGGTTGTATCCAAAAACTCATCATCAAACCCAGGGTCACCAAGATTTTCTCCTATCTTATATTCTAGAAGTTTTATTGTTTTGCATTTCACTTTTAGGTCTAAGATCTGTTTTGAATTCATTTTTGTGAACGATGTAAGGTCTGTATTTATTTTTGGTCCAATTGTTCCAGCACCATTGATTGAAAAGACTGTCCTTTCTCCATTGAATTGCCTTTGCTTCTTTGTCAAACGTCAGTTGCTTATATGCATGTAGGTGTATTTCTGGGCTCAGTATTCTGTTCCATTGATCTGTTTGTCTCTTTTTTTTGCCAGTACTTCACTATCTTGATGAGCACACCTTTGTACTAAGTCTTGAAATCGGGTAGCATCAGCCCTCCGGGCTTGTTCTTCAGTATTCTGCCTCTCCACATGAACTTAAGAATCAGTGTGTAGATATCCACAAAAATAACCTTGTGGGATTTTTTTTTTTTTAAGATTCTCTTTATCTGACAGAAACATGATAGAGACGCTGAGAGAGAGGGAACACAAGCAGGGGGAGTGGGAGAGGGAGAAGCAGGCTTCCCACGGAGCAGGGAGCCCGATGCGGGGCTTGATCCCGGGACTCTGGGATCATGACCCGAGCTGAAGACATCCGCCAAAAAACTGAGCCACCCAGGTGCCCCAACCTTGTGGGATTTTGATTGAGATGGCATCGAACTATAGCTCCAGCTGGGGAGAACAAATATCTTAAAAATGTCCTTGACATGGAATTTCTCATCATTTATTTAGGTGTTCCTTGGTTTTCATCAGTTTTATAGTTTTCCTTATATAGATTTTCTACATATTTTGATAGATTTATACCAAGGTGTTTCATTGTTTTGGTCCTAATGTAAGTGGTATTATGGTTTTAATTTCAAAAAGGTGATACATGGTACACAGCAAACAACAATAACAAAAACAACAAACCCAAGAGATACAGACTGGTTTACAGTGAAAAGTAGCTTCCTTTCTATATCCTATTCCTTGGGCCTCTATTTTCAACTATCCAAAGACATTCACTGATGCTACGTTCTTGTGGGTCCTTCTAGAGATTGTATGTATATACTCGAGCTCCTATTAATAATTATTATTAATTCCACAAACATCCATGAGCATTCGATATGGGCCAGGCACAGGAGATGGGGCCAAGAACAAGAGGGAGTCCTGCTCTCACGGAGCGGACATTCACTGTAGTTGGCGCCACCAACTATATCTCCAGTCCTCACGAGGTCTCTGCCTAGCAGGTATTATTATCCCTGTGGGAGGGCTGAGGGCCAAAAGAGGACTCTCGGGGGCCAACTGAGTTGTCCAAGAGCTTAAGCAGAGAGGCTGGTCCTGCCAAGAGCTAGGGGCAGGGCTGATGCTGCTTAAGGCCAGAGGAAGCAGGTTCTGGAAGGGAGGGCTTTTTGCCAAGGCAAATAGGTACCAATGAGGAGGAGGCAGCTTAAGGAGGCTGCTAGCCCAGTCTGGGGCCAGATTCGTATCAGAATAAGACTTAGAAATTCTGTTACTGGGTGGCTGCATTTTAATTCCTTAATTTTGTTTCCTCTCTAGCTTCTTAGACACATTGTTCTGGGGACCAGCCTACCCGTGTTTGGCTGACCCTAGGAGAAAATGGATTTATCCACACTGAGATCAACATTGCCACGGGAGTGGCCAGGATGTCTCCAGAGGCATAGAAGGGCTCGTGCTCAGGACAGGCTGTGATGAAGAGCCAAAGAGTAGCAGTGGGCTGCTGAGGACTGAGTATCTGAGTGACAAGTCTGGGCCAAGTTGGCTTCCCCACCTGGGTTTCCTTGCCAGGTTGGAGGTAACTTTCCTAGACATGGCACTAGGCTCTCTGGCATCCCGTTTCCCACCTCTGCCTCAAGACACTGAGGCCAGTGGATGCCCTACAGCCACCTGTATGCTGCCCTCCACCCATCCCCCTAGCCCTGCTAAGAATATTTGCGTCCAGTTATTGTCTGTTTGTCATATATGTAGTAACAACAGAGGGCCAGTGACTGATGATTTCATTCCCATTTTACAGATGAGGAAATGGGCTCTGAAGCAAAATCTTTGCTTGTGATGTAACACTACATTGCCTCTGTAGGGTCCTAGCACCCAGGATAGGGGCACACACAATAGCAGTCCTTGTCCCCAACTTGATAGGTTTGTAAGTGCCTCCCTTAAGCAGCTCAGATGCTCTGGCTGTGCTGAGACCCTTCCCCTCTGTTTGGCCCTGGGGTGGTTCGCTGACTCTCACCTCTCCCAGTGGCACTGCTTGGGGCCATTTCTGACTTGATTATATTCTTAGGGCCCACCCTGTAGAGACGGGGTTATTCCTTCACAGGGTTCAACCGATTTTATGGTTCTTGTTACAAATTGTCACGTAGGGCCCATTCAGAAAGATTGCAGTATTTTATCAATGAACATGTATCAGACATATATACCTGTTATCAAATACATGTCTTTAATTCCTGGAGGCAGAAAGGACTCACTTAACATGATTACATTCTGTACAAATGTGAGTACTGTGTCCTGCAGCCTCTGCTTCTGAATGGCACCAATTTGAGTAGAAGATGGTTCTTTTTTTTGACAGAGAGAGAGACAGTGAGAGAGGGAACACAAGCAGAGGGAAGTGGGAGAGGGAGAAGCAGGCTTACCGCCGAGCAGGGACCCTGATGCGGGGCCCGATCCCAGGACCCTGGGACCGTGACCTGAGCCGAAGGCAGATGTTCAACGACTGAGCCACCCAGGCGCCCCGAAGATGGTTCTTTATATAGCTGCACTCCTTGGAATAGACCAGGCCAATGCCTGGGTGGTCAACATCCTGAAGGGACAGTTCTTAAAAGGGCCTGGGACTCCTTTCCATCAGGCATAGCTCAAGGGGCTGAGGGTCCTCTCAGCCCCTCCAGGCACATGAGCCTCTGTTAGACACGCCTTAGAGGCTGTCTTCCTTTATCACGGGGCTTGGAGGGATGGTTGGTATTCTCACCTCTAGCTTTTGCCTCCAACATGTCTTGCACATCAGTATTCCCTAAATTAATCTGCTCATCAGGTCACTCTCCAGCTCAAGAATCTGCACTGGCTCCCTGCTGCATGTCACATCAAGGTAGTCTGGCCTTGTCTTGCCTGTTCAGTATAGATTCTCTGATACCCCGACATAGCTTCTTTGCTCCAGATGAACAACCTTCTCTT